AGTCTTCCCTTATCATACGTCCTGCCGCTTTTCTGTAGCGCATTTGGTGAAGAATGACTTTCATCAAAGATCAAGGGGCAGGACCCCCTGGCTTAACACAGACTCAAGCAGCATCGACAACCAGTATTTCACAAAAGGACGACGTGCAGATGACCGATGAACCCGATTATGAGCCCTCAGAAGCATCTAGCTATGATCCTGCAGCGGCTTTACTCGACAACATCTCCCAACCTTCAAAGAAACGGCGCCAGTCGCCGGATTCTACGGATGCTCAGCAACCCAAGAAAGTGAGGCTTGGGGGAGCTGGAGCTGATCCTGCTGTTTCCAAAGAGTCCCACGAGCTGGCGGTGAACCGAGCCAAGCAGCTTCCAGGAGAGATATGGCAGCATATCTTCACTCTTGTACCGCCCAAGGACCTGGGTCGTTTGTTGATTGTCAACAAACTTTTTCATGTTTTTCTTAGCCCTTCTGTTGCTGGTTCTACCCAGCGATCCAGTGATATGCCATCAACCCTTCCGCCCCTGAAGCCAGATGCCGTATGGCAAGCTTCAAGGAGGCTTTTCTGGCCCCGCATGCCTGCTCCTCTAAAAGGGAAGTCCGAGCTACAAATGTGGCGTCTTGTCTGCTCTACATCTTGTCAGTTGTGCGGTACCAAGGGTCAGAAGAACCCCCGATCTTTAAAGAACGAAGCATGGCGTAGTGGTCCTGGCCCAACTGATGTTTGTCCCATTTTTCCTTTTTCTATCTTCACTTGCGGCAATTGTCTGAAGAAGAATGGGGCCAGAGTAGGTGTTATGATTCTCTTCGGTCAGGTGTTTATCTGACGTGTGGTACAGGAAATTGATCTATTACTTTCTCCAACTTTCCCTTCCTTTCTTCTTCCTGCTCTTCCTCCTATTCTGGTGGACACAGATATGCATGTCATACCTTCCCGTGCCATGCAGATGGGAACACTCCCTCCTGACACCCAGGTGACTAAATTATTCTGGGCAGATCATGTTGAGCAAGTCAAGGCAGAGTTCACAAGCGTCAAGGCACTGGGTTCTGCTGCCGCTGAAGAGTGGATAAAGGGTTTGGAAATTCGCGGGAAGCAGGTTTTGGTGGACGCCTCTCGCTGGGAGAAGTGGGTTGGCGCCGGTGGAATTGCTCATCTACGAGTAGAACATGTTGCAGCCAAGACTAATATCTCAGCCCCTACTACATCTTTCCCTGCCACTTCTCTTCCTGATAAGCCTTTGTTAAGTGCCACCCAGAAGACCGACAAGCAACAATCGCAAACATCCAACAAGACCGAGCGGCATGCTTCTTTGTTACCACTGGAAGCAAATGTCCAAATACCACAGGCTCCAGCGCAACAAAAGCGAACCAAAGAAGAGGCCGCTCGGCTCAAGGCCCAAAGGCGAGCTGATATCGAACGTCGGGCCATGCTTCTTGACCCTCCACTGACTGCAGATGTCCTAGCCCATATTCCATCCTTTCAGGCAGCTCTCCAGCTCATCACACCACTCGATGATGGTGCTTGGGAACTATTAAAACCCCGCCTTCTTGCCCAGAGAGAAAAAGCTGAGCAGTGGGTAAAACAGACTAGCACAAACACCCCGGTCCCTCATGGGGGACCCGGCAAGAAGGAAATCGAGAAGAAACCTGCTAGGGAACCAAGGGATGTTACCGATGAGGAATGGGATGAAACACAAGGTCCTGTTCGAGCTCGCATATCAGAATATGCGGACGAGATCATCAAGAGTTGGAACAATGGTGCTAAGATCAAGAAGAAGATTTGCCCTCAATTTGCTGCAGACACCTTGCTCCATGTTCGGAAACGATTTTACGCCGAGGTTGCAAAAGATAGGGCCGCATTAGTCGCTGCTGGGAAAAGGCCAATCGATGAGCCTCCAGAAGGGCCTTGGACTCAAAGATTAACTTTGGAAAATATGAAGTGGGTTTTTGACGTCAAGGTCAAGCCTCATACCGAGCCGCTGCGTAAGGAGTTGTTTCTTTGCAATGGCTGCCCTGGCGGGACCGGAATGCTCAAGTTCTTCGGGTTCGAAGGCGTACTTCAACACTATGCAGCAAAGCATACGACTGCTCTTAGTCTGGGCAATGTCGTAGTGCATTGGAGAGCAGAATGGCCAGAGGTGCCACCCTTCTGTCCTGACCCTCGAATGAAGGAAAAGGCCTACTATGAGAAAGGTCCGTCCAACTCTCAGCAGTCTAAAGACGTTCCGCTTCGACAAGCCTACCCGGACTTCCAATCGGGTCCTCCAATGGGATATCTACCTCCTGTCTATGGTTCAGAAGCACCACCTATGTCACCTTATCATGCTGAACCTCAAATGGCGATGCCCTCCGTGACTCCATACGGTCAAGCCGGAGCCCATGCGTACGGTGGGCCATACGTAGGTCAGCCTTACAATGACACTGCGGCATATGGCTCAAATCCTCCGCGGTTCCCTCTGGGAATGCCCCACGGCTCCCATAACTATCCGAACGACTACGCTATGCCTGTGCCTCCAGTCTCTGGTCACATCGATTATGAGCCATATCCTAGTCGCAACGACATCAACGGTGTCACATCCACCAGCATGCCTCAGCAAACCCAACCTGATACCATTACCAGATCTACTCATTCTGCATGGTCTACGGTCGGCCAAAACAAAAAGATACCTCCCCCAGTCAGGGCCCTTTCGGTGATCCACTATGCTGCCAAAACTTTCAGAGATACGCATCATGAGCCATTGTCATTGGGTATGTTCATCGATGCCATAGCGAAAAGTAGAAAGCTGCGCACATTTCGATCGCTTAACGGAGTCGCATGTAGAGCATGCGACAGTGACGTCTTTCATCTGCCCAAACTGGCCAGCCATTTCAAGGCAGTACACGAAGACCTGCCCATAAGTCAAGGGCTAGCGTCAATGAACTGGCTAACAGACATGATTAAACTGCCAGAAGAAGAGCGCTTGGCTGGGTTAGCGGGTATGCTGCGTGAGGACATGGGTGCATACTCTTTGGTGGAAGAGGCTATCCCCTGGGTATTTGAACAGGCTTTTATGGACAAGTACGGTTCAAGGCCTTCGCAGACAAGGTCCAAGAATATTCTTCCTGCTCAAGCTGCTGCTTTTGTTACAGACGATCCACCTCCGGAGCAGCGTTTACGGAACGCTGTTGCGCAGGTAGACAACACGCAACAGCCTGACCATCTCCTTTCCTCAACTCAACTCCAGTCAGCAATATCACCACTATTCACTGCGTCTTTGCCTGCTCGATCACAAGTTGAGTCTGGGCAAGATATAGCGCCTCTTCGTCCAGCTAGTGAAGTTTACGGTCGTAAGACGCACCAAGCTTCAGCAGTCAAGCCCAGACCTGCTGGTCCCGCAAAAATTGATATTTCCAGAACAGATGACTACCCCATGTCAGAGTTTGAACAATTACGCGAGTCAGCGAAGGAAAGAGGAAACCGTGGTGCCAGAGGCAAGATTGAACACGAGCTCGCGGTTCATCGTCCTTCCCATCGTGCAAAACCTCGACATTGGCGTGACGAACTGCCATCTGATCACCGAGATGCACGAGAGCAACGTTATTCGGGCACAGAGCCGGTCGAGCATCGCGACAGGAGCGCCTCAGTAGGAAACCGGCCACATGAAAACCATCCTCCAGACAGTGCGAGGGCTAATGCAGCACTCGGTTACGTCGAGGTTGAAGAACTTCCACCTGTCCAAAAGCATCAAGCAGAGGAGGAGGAAGAGGAAGTTGTGTATGTGGATGAGTCTGGGCGCGAGATTGGTCGAGGCCGCAGAGCTCGAAACACTCTTCCCCGAGAACCTAGATACAGTGTTCCTGACGAGCGAGGGTTTGGTGGCTATGATCACCCTTCATCATGGTATGGTGATCGCCTCCGCTATCAGGAGAGCAGTCCCCGGTCACGATACGCACAGCCAGGATATTACTATCGACCAGAGCCACCTACTGCCCCTCACCGAGCTTACTATGACCATCGCGACACCCGCCCTCTTACGGAGTACCCTGCAGAGGCATACGAGCTTGTCGAGGTTCGTCACCCCAACGGGGATTACTTTGTCAGACGTCCTGTCCGACGGGATGATAGACCTTATTATGCCTCTGAGACTCAGCCGCCTCAGAGAGAGCAAAGCGTTTATCCCACACAGCGATATGTCGAGGGTCCTCCAGGTTATAGGGTTGGTTCTCAAGGAAACGGTCCCATCCCTCCATCAGCATCGAGGCCCGCATACGATGATTATGATCCGCGATATCCTTCATCTATTGCCAGAGAACCACCAGTCTATCGTGGAAATCAGTGATAGTACTATCACTCAATTCTGATGCTTTACCGCATTTCGACAAAGAGAGGACACAGAAGAATGTTTAAATGTATACTAGTCTAGTAAAATCTGGTGAAAGGGAGTTGTAGGTACACAGAGATTTCTGACTATACTAGATCAATCCATGCACTTAATGTTTTTAATAAGTATTACGAAGTAGTACATAGTACACATTCTGCTAGACGAGCCGAGTTTGATTTACTTTTTTTACATACATCCATCAATACATACGTACAAGCCCTCCTCTTGTGTTCCTTCTTCTCGTGAGAGCCATCCATCATCAGAAACAAAGCTGAGTGTGGCCGCAATTCCAATGCCGGCTGGTGATGTACAAGATGAGAGAAAAATGATGAAATAAGAAGAACAAAAGTACAACGCTCTTTTCTTTCTTCTCTCTTTGATCTTTCTTTTCTCTCTCCCCTTCTTCTGCCTATTTGCTAAGCAGTCAAAAGTGATTCAAGAGCCCAAAGCCCTTTGCCAAAAATGTTCGACATTGGCCGGTCTCTCCAAGTTATGTTTCGCCGTTAAATCTATCCATCCATCCATGTATGAGTCACTGTTGTCGATTGGTCTTCCTTTTCTTCATTATTGTCGAGTTCAACTCGGCACGGTCACGTAATGATGTGACCTGTACCATAAACCAAGAGAAAATCATTGCTGGCTTTACAGCACCTCGCCAATAATCTTGGCAGCCTCTCGGTAGGTCTGGAGCAGCCTCTCACACTTCTCGCGCTCTTTCTTGACACCGTCGTCCTCATAGAGTAGCTCCTCAAACAGAGTTTCCTTGTAGAGTTCGCTGACAAGGCGGTTCTGGACGACATCCTTGCAGTGGTTGACGAGAAGATGCATGACAGCCTTGGGGACCTGGTCGGCAATGGACTCGCGAACAATGTTGAAGTAAGAAGAGATAAGAGCTCGGATGAGTTCTGTCTCCATAGCCTCGCGCTCTGTCATGGCCGGCTCCGCGGATTCACCCTGGTGGTGGGGGTTAGTTTGGTGTGAAAAGAGGAGACCAGGCACCTGTAGATCCTCGGAACTTACCATTTGGGAGGCCAAGCCGTAGTTCTTCCCTGTCCTATCGTACATGTCGTCCTCGGGAGCCATTGTCGTTGCTGTAGATGGCCGGCCAAATTCTCTCTCGCGGCGTATAATGGGGAAACTGGTTTCCGAGTTCTGGCTAATATGTCGTCCATTGGGGAGTGCGCCAGGGCTAGGGAGAGGACCGCCAATGGTCTGGCCATCCTTGCCGAAGAAGTAGTTAAGGAAAGAATCTCGAGCGCCGCCGAGTCCCTGTTGGTTAAGTCGAGCAGGTGAGGCTGATCGAAGACCATTGAGGTGTGTTGCATTCATATGGGCAGCAAGGCTTGAGGTTCCATTCTCGCGAACTGAGGCAGCAGGAGATATGCTGCGGTGAGGCTGCTTTGTAGGCCTGGTCCTTCCCGATTTCGTCTTCTCGGGCTTCTCGGAGGGTCCGTTGACACCGTCCTCGCCTTCTGGGCCATCACCCTCGACCTCAAGCTCCTGGAGGCGCCTCTTCTCCCGACGCTCACGCTCCTCTTGGATCAGCCTTTTCCGTTCTCGTTCCTGCTTAGCACTAACTACATTGCTCATGGCGGCGGCAGCGCCCAGGAAGTTAGGGTGGTTAGTATTGATGTAGGCGCGCTGAATAGAGATGAGTGATTCGACATATGATGAAGCAGGGCCAAGTCGTTCTCGGAGTAAATCTGACACTGTCTCGATAAGCTTAGCCTGGAGTCTGGGATATCGTGAAAGCTCAGTTGAGCCACAGGTGTGGCAAATCTTGATCAGCTCCTCATACACAAGCTCAACACAACGTTGGCTGGGAATTTCAAGAAGCTTGATCTGAGGCTTAACCAGAAGGTCGAAAGCCATCTCAGGGACAAAAAGACTAGGTCGAGGACCAGTCGAGTTTCGGATCGCCGTCCGGATGTCGAGGGCGGACAGATTGGAGGTAGGGTCGATCGTGTCAAGAGAGCTACCAAAGACGGAGTTGAAGATATAGTAGATACGAGCGCCGCCACAGAGCTCTTTTGTGGATATCTCGGTCGAGGTACCATCGATGGAAGAAATGAAGGAGTTTGCGAAGCGTGTCATTTGCTGGAGGATGAGAGAGCCACGATGCTCCTTTCCACTGAAATGCATGTCGCCATAGCTGGCCAACTCCTGCTGCGTCTGGCCCATGAGGGTGTTGAGCCGAGCCTTGATGTCGGGCAAACGCTCACGGATGTGGCCCATGAGAGTGGTGTTAAGGGTCTTGGCCAGGTAGTGAGTGCCACATCGGGTAGAAATGTTGCGATAGGCAGGGTGGTGCTTGAAGAAGTCTGTCTCGGCCTGGAGAGCATCCTCCATGGGTTTGTTACCTTGGATATCCTGCTGCGATCGGTTGACCACACCGATGAAACCAAGCTTTAGAGGGTAAACCCGACCAGAGAGAATATCTAGAGCATTGGTGCCGTGGTCCATAAGATCAACCTTGGTCAGAACACCAATGGTCCTTCGGCCAAGAGGGTCGACATGACGGGCGAGCTTGAGGGCTTCAGAGTTGACGATATCAACGTTGGCGGGAGAGACCGCGAGGACGATGCTGTTAGGCTTGGCGATGTATTCGGAGATGAGGTTTCGGGTCTGCTTCTCAATATCGGTAGGTTGATCGCCAATAGGGACCTGAGGTAAACCACGATCAGTATGAATTATTAGAAACAAGCCAAGAGGCCATCAAGATCGCCAACACAAGGATTCTCACTTTAGTTAGACCAGGAAGATCCACTAGGGTCAAGTTGAGGACGTGGGGAGAATAGATCTTGAGGTTGATGGGTTGTCGGTTAATACCCTTGTTGTTACCGGCAACCCGGGATGTCTCATTCTCAATCTCACGCTTGACGTCGCCAAAATCGTTGAATCTCCGGTTGGGGATATGGTGGAACTCTGCCCACTCAGAACGGCGAGCAGCGCCAGGGGATCGATAAGGATCGGCTGAAGGGTCGGGGGCATTTTCATCGTCGGTAACGTTAATGAGCTGGAGAATCAAAGGACGACGAGTGCAGATACCGGCTCCGCGCGGTAAAAAGTCTCGACCGACGATGTTTTCGAGGACGGAAGATTTGCCCGCGGACTGGGAACCGACGACAACCTAAATATGCGGTCAGTCATGGCCAGAACGATCAATTCGTCTAGCAAGAAGAAGAAGAAAGCATACAATCTGAGGGAGATCCAAAGAGTCACTGCCGATGGTGTTAAACACCAAATCCTGCAGCTTGTTGACCGTGGTGAGCAGATCCTCGCCGAGAGCAGCCATGGTGGTTGGGAGGCCGAATTTGTGACAGGCGGTCGAAGCGAGCGAGATAGGGAGATGCCAAAAACAACAGAATAGAACAAATGATTAAGAATCAAGATCTGTTCAGGAGTCCGTCACGAAACCCAGGACAAGGACGAGGAGACGGAGGAAGTCTTGAATAATGCGCGCGTCGTCGCTAAAATTCAAAAATCCGACGTCAATTCCGACAGTTCAAGCGGTTCGGTCTGGGACTGGGACTGGTTCAGGCTCGGGTTGGTCTGAGGTGGCTTTACTTTGCTTTTGCGCGGGCGGGCAGGGGAGACACTAACTAACAGACAGCCGGTGCTGCAGAACCCATGGTTTTACAACATTCACGTGTATGTGCATAATGACCCCCCCAAGCGTTTTTTTTTTTGGGTAGGCCTTTGCGATACCTGGTTCCAGGCGGCCTTTAGTGCACTGACCACTGACACAAGTCGTAATTGGCTAATAAGTTCGGGGAGAGGCCGTGCCACGTCACTAGCCACACCTTAAAGTATCCATGTTGTTATCCATCAGACACGTCTCTATCGGGGTTCGCCACAATTCGCCTGACTTTTCTTACTATGTTAAAGGACATGAAGTGAAGTTGATATATGCTGTAGGAATCAGTCAAGAGTTTCAACGGAGATATGAGTACTTTTGGTAGTCCTGGTCCTTTGCCGACCACTAAGCCTACGCCGTGAGTCCTCGCATACCATACCGTCCGTCGTTGGTAGGATCTGACTGAAGTGTGTTCTTGTCATCAGGCCGCAGCGTGGAAGCTTTCCTCTCGATCATGATGGTGAGGAACCCAAAAGAAACAGCATATGGTTCACTCGATAGTTAACCAACTTCAGGCGAGTGCAAAACTGTCATGGCAAAATACCTTTCATGCATGAAAAAGGTGCGAGGCATGAATGACGACGAATGCCGCAACCTGGCAAAAGCATACCTTTCATGCAGAATGGACAGGTGAGCCTCTTCTTCGATCTTGACGGGAAAAAAGGCCCATGACGCAAATCCCTCGGTGTCGGACGGAGCAAGGCGCTAACAACGACGGGTTTAGAAACCTGATGGCCAGGGACGATTTCAAGAACCTTGGCTTTGCACAATCTCCACCGCCTTCAACTGAAAAGGCGGCGCCAGAAGCTGAAAAGGGTGTCAGGGAATAAGAGACTGAGAAACAAAGCGCTCTCTCCCTGTCCAATATGTAACATATGCTTGGAATTTAAAAAGTGAGACACCAACAACAGCGAGTTAGAGGCTGACTGTAGCGCGAATACCTTGCCTCTCATTACTAAGAAGGTGTTTGAACAAATGAGAGTAATACACATCAAAGCTCCCCGCTCGAAAACTATGTACCTGGGTGCTAGCTGTCCCTCATAGTCATAGTGGACACATGGCGGTGGAAGATTCTGTATAATAAATAACGACTACCAATTCAATGACCTCTCGCAACCAACTACAACGAACTCACCTGAAAGAGAAAATACCGGGTCAATGAGATCATCAGCCTTCATCCTCACCTAGTCTCATATTCTTAGACAAAAGCATTTTGTTGCTGTTGGTGATACTCTGACGCAACCCAACCACCATCCAACTTTCGTTGCCAGGTCAACCCCAGCCAGCTCGATTTGCGACCGTCCGTTAAAAGTATCACGCTCGTATCTACTAAACGACCTGCTATCGTTCCCTATACCTTGTCGAATACCTCATTCTCTCCCATCTAACCTCCTTCTTGACCTTTTTTTTTTCTCTGCCGGACAGGATATTCTCTTCAACATTCATTAATTCTACATCATTATCCCTTGCGGCACGGCAAAGATGCCAACTACGGCGCAGGCGAACGAGCCCAAGCAGCGTAAGGTGACTCCTCCGTCGCCTTCCTACATGACAGATGATCAGTTTGGTATGGTGTTTGAACTTGACCACAAAAGCAATCATTGTTGCTAATTCAACCTCTGCTGGATAGCTACCTACCTCGCGGGTTTACGGTCAAATCGAGTGGCAAGACCTGGAGGTGCACGACCTCAACCAGCTGGTGCACGTCCAGTACCCAGCCGTTCAAGTTTAAATCGCAATAGCACGGGCCGATTCACACCTGATGTCGCTTCTCTCCCAGATAACATGCCGCATACTCTTGATCGCAAAGAGTCGATGAGCCCCAGCACCGCCGGTGGCAGTGTCGCCTCTCGGTTATCTATGATCAGCAGAAAGAGTCCCGACTATTATTCAACATCCCCAGCAAACCCTTTGAGACCCTCCGATGTCGTTCCTTCAGCCACCTACATGGAGCGAGGCCAAAGATGGATGGAGAAGGAGGAAGCAAGCTCATTGCGTGACGCTATGGAGGAAATGGACATAAGAAAGGGTTCGAAATCGCCTGTTCAGGAGACACCAGATGACGATACTCGACTATATAATGCTGCTCTCGATGAAGCTGCCGAGCTTGTCTGGCAACACCAACATGGTACACCACCTCCCCGTCCCGATGGGCCCTACCGCTATAAGCCACACCTTCGAAAGAATAGCTACGCCCATGCTCGTACTGCTAGCATTGGTCCATCCGAGAGCAATTTTTCGGAAGGAGAGGGCGAGACTGGGGGCAGCGTGCGTGACAGCCGTTGCGATCTAGAACAGAGAGAACCAGTGGAACGGTCGGCCAGCAAAAGCAAAACTTACGGCAACATTGGCCGCAGAACACCTGAGCAGCGTCGTCACAGCCTGAAGAGGAACATTAGCGGAGAGGTCGGTCGACCCTTTTCTGAGGACCAGATCTGGGAAGAGCCTGAATCTACGGTGTCTCAAGACATAAGCTTCTCCGGTCGGGCATCTCCAGAAAAGCTCAACCGAATTCAGACCTCGGCGAATCGTGTCCGGTTCGAGGCACCTCAAGAAGAGGCCGAAAAGCCCAAGCCTTTGGAGCGGGTTGAAATATACCGCAACCCTCCGACGCGGTCGCGTAACCCGCTATACACCAGCAACCACTCGAGTGAGGCCATTGTCCCTGTTGAAGACAAAGTGGAGAGGAAGAACGGCATGGAAGTCAGAAGCAATGACATCCGTGCGGCTACAAGCATGCGTTTGAAAGATCGCAGCCCCAAACTACCGGAACCCACCGCCGTCAGTGACAGTCCGGGACGGCCCATTGTAAGCTTTGACGCCAACTGGCAAGCCCCGGACCAGTCCACTGATACCACCCCAGACCGGGCGCTCCCGGCAGCCCCCAGCAGATCCTCGTCCTCGTTCGCCCAGCCTGAGAAACCCATGGCGATACCTAGTATCGTTGTGGCGGCGGAAAGTACGCCGATGCCGCGAGCGTCGACGGCAGCGCAGATCCCGTCTATTTGCGTAGATGAGACGCAGAGTAATCCTCGAGCCTCGGTGCCTTCAATCAACACCCCGAGCATCGCTGTAGACGGCTCTCCTACCAACGGCGGAGGCATTCCCGCCATCGTTGCGCCTCAAAACGAATCGACCTCACGGCCCCGCCCACTCCCTGATCCAAGAACTGCTGCAGCAGGCCCTCGAACCGCACAGAAGCCTCGTGGGCATTGGTCTCCAGCACCCGGCAGCACCAGGCGAGCTGTGACAATCTGTCACGAATGTGGCTATCCTATCGAAGGGCGGTTCGTGGCTCTTGGGGGCGGTAACGAACGATTCCATCCGCAGTGCTTTAGCTGTTATACTTGTGGTACTAACCTACAGGCGATGGAAATCAGCCATGAGCCCGACCATCTCCGTCAAGAGCGACTTGATCGTATCAAACGCCGCGCGGCTGGTGAGACTCTTGATGAGGAACCAGGCAAGACCATGGCTGAAGACGGGGATGAGCGTCTCCGGTTCTTTTGTCATCTTGATTGGCATGAGCTGTTCGCCCCGCGCTGTAAGCACTGCCAAACCCCTATTCTCGGTGAGCACATCGTCGCTCTCGGTGCTCACTGGCACTACGGCCATTTTTTCTGCGCCGAGTGTGGTGACCCGTTTGACCATGGCATGACGCACATTGAGAAGGACGGGTATGCATGGTGTATCAACTGCCAGACAAAGCGTACAGAGCGACGAGCACCAAAGTGCAGAAAGTGCCGTATAGCTGTTATTGGACAGTACATTCAAGCCTTGGGCGGAGAATGGCATGAGCATTGCTTCCGATGCGCTGAGTGTCAGGGCAGTTTCGACGACGGTCAAATCTTCACCAAGCATGTGCCCGAGGGCACGATTGTGCTCTGCACTGGCTGCCGAGCAATGGAACTCAAAGCGTAATGATGATGATGTGTAATTTTTTTGGCGTGCGTGTTTTGATATTTACCAAGCATTGATTATTCTTTAGTAGTGTGCTTTAATGAACTTGGCATTCCGCTTCTCAGTTTCACAAGAGCAAACAGTTCGGGTTGTGATGTTTTGTTTATACTTCGAATGGTGTCTGCAATGTTGAAGGTGAAAAGGAGTGTTGACCAGAGTGAAGTCGTATTATAACGATTGTCTGGTGTAGTCAGTTATAATAGGATAGAATTCCAAGCGCGTATCGTAGGCGAACTTTAAATCGGAATACTATCAAATACATAGTCCAATTCAATCTGTTTCATACTACTGGTCTTTGTTCTTTTGGCGTAATATCGCGGGGACGTAATAACCCCCAAGTCTTACGAAGGGCAAGTCAATAATCGACGTTAGCACGTGCATGTCGCTCGAACTGAACAGAAACACACACACAAGCATGATAATCCACCGCGTCGAGAACCAAAGATGCGTAAGTTAATCAGGTTGTATTATCCCAGTCGTAAATAAGTTGTCGAGCTGGCCTCAGTCTCGCTATCATCAAAGGTACGAAAAGCCAATAAATCGAACCTGTAACAGTGGGAATCCAGTTTCAAGACCAGGCAGTTTGGCTAATTCATCCATTTGATATACTCCGCTTGTGGTACATCCCTCGCCCGGCTTCCTTTCCGCTTTAAAGTGAAGATCCTCCGACCTGTTCCTGGTGTACCTCGAGTGTATCGCCGTCTTGCATCTCGAGCTAGAAATAGTAACATGTCAGCGCGCTCAGGACCTTCCAAATGACCTGCGCCATATGTATGCAGAAATAGGCGTGTGGTGGACAAAGGTAAAACGAACCGCATCCGGTGTGTCCGTAGGCTGAACTCGCGTCCCGTCAAAGAGGAATCGGACAGAGCTTGTGGTCTTGCCCTGGCGTTCGCAAAAGGCGGTCATCAGCTTCTCGAGCTTGGTGGTGCGCTTGATCTTAAAGAAGACCTCGTTGTTGTTGTCCGTCACCTTGATGTTGAGGTGTTCCGAGTTGGGAGCAGCCTGCTCGCCGGGGGTACCGTTCGCGTTCTCGTCAGACATTATGGGTGATCTGTTCTTGTGTTTGCTTCTATGGCGAAAATGTGAGCAGCGGCTCGGAATGGAGTAGGAGATCAACGGCGTGGCAAGACGTCACAAAAATGGGACAGTACCTTTGCACGATGGTGGTTGACAGTGGTAGGTGAGGCCAAGCAAGTGGGGTTGACGACTTCGTCACGTTAAGTGTTTGAGGTGCTGGAAGCCTATTGCAATAGGCCACGCTGTTGGGTAGTGAGTGGTAGTGACGAAAGATTGTGTGTGTAGTTGAATGGGAGATGATGTAAGAGTAGAGATAGAAGAGAAGATGTGTTGGTGGGAACTAGAAAAAAAGACAATTAACTTGAGTGAGTGATGCGTCTCGACGAAGTGAATGCAGCCTGAGCGCGGGACTCTTTCTTCTCAGCTCTTTCAGCACCCTTCACGTAAACCCGGCACTGTAACCATAGATGGTGCCTATTCGGCGGGTGGAAGGTTCTTCTTCTCTAAAGATACCTGGATGAGGTGGGGAGCAGCAAGTCTGATTGGTGCATGTGTCTTTGTCACTTCTAAGCAGTTGAGAGCTAAAAATTGGACCTCTGCTTACCCTATACTAGAGGATATTTGAGAATAGATCTTAGCGTTAACCCGTCGCTGCTGGTTGAAAAAATATAACTTTTTTTTAATTAGTGATGTATTTTTACGTGTATATGTTTTGGATTGTTTCCTTTTCTCGGTGTAATGCAATAGGTATGCACATGTGTTCGTAATATAGAACTTGTCTCCTTTTGGCCCCTGTTGGTCTAACAGTCGATAATTTTTCGACAAGCACGATAGAGTGCATGACATCAGTCTTCCATAGTATCGGGTACACTACCAACTTTCTTTTTAGACTTGTGTATTTTTGTCACGTACATACACGCATATCATACCACATCTACTATATTCTCGCCAACAAGAACCGCCATTGGACACCTACTGTCAACAGCATTCGCCTACCACTATCCAGTCATTGCACTATCATCTTTGATACAATACAAACATAGCAATGGTAAGCATGTCTCAACGTTGACTTGTCATTTTGGCCAGAAATCGCTAATGAATATGAAACAAGGCTCCGAAGGACGACGTTGAGGCTAAGCCAGCCTGCCATCCTCGCGCAGTAAGTTGCAATATCATAGGGGATTGCACCGCAACCTGAACTAATTTACTACTGTGGTAGTGCGCTATTCAGAGTATGACATCCATTTGAAGAAAAGCACGAAAACCTTTGTAGCTGACCTCGCTTGTGCCAGACTGTCTCACTAGCAATGGATATAACGAGGCTAAATGCCAAACAGCAATCAAGAAGCTCTACGAATGCTGCGAAACCTTTTACGAACGCTATGGTCAAGAAGCATCTACTGTGAGCTGTCCAAAGCCCAATTTGCTGAAGCTCAAAATGAAGCAACTCCGGGAGGAAGGGAAGTGATATGTAACGCTCGTCTTGTGGTGTGTCCGCCGGTTTGGGTAACGCTGGCAACTGAAATGAAAAGCGCCGAAATTCTTCTAGGCGATCCTTGAGCACGCAAGAGGCCTCATGGACCTGAACAAGCATTGAGTGCTTATTCCGAGACTCTAATAGGAATGCCGATGACATTATGATAGAGAAGAAGAGAAAAAGAAATAAAATTTGCTGCTGAGTGGAGACGTACTTGAAGCATAACAGTGTCGCGTGCGGATAGTGTAAGGTATACTGTAGAACACACACGCGCCCAATCGCGGCTGTTTTTAGCGCAGAATGGATCCATGGAAGTAGGTTGGCTGCAGTGCAGATGAGCTTAGCACTAAGGAGGTACGTACCGCCGAAAAGCTAGCTCTGAGCAACCGCGCGAGTGAAAGGAACGACCAAAACAATCTAGCAATTCTTTGCCTTGGATCATCAAAGTTGCGCGAGCTTCCTCAACAACCATCGCGAGAACGTTATATCTTCGATCTCGACAACTGCAATACACGCGCTATCTCTATACTTGCACCCAAATTGGGTATGCACGCGACCTTGAACGATTAACATCTTTGACCCGACGGCCAAACCAGCCGAGCAGGGTCGATTGCCTACCTAAGCCATTCGTCCTCCTTACGTCTACGAACACTCATCTTCGATTTGATACCCCGCGACAATAGAATTTAACCCTTTCAATATGGCGCCTATAGAACCCGAAAGCTTTCTCTCGTACGAGGCCGGCCCTGAAGTTGAAGAGTTCGCCAACGCGCTTGACGACTGCCTCTCTCTCCCACTTTCCACCGAAGAGCGACGAGAACGAATTCTCGACCTCCCACGGAGGTACTATGAGAATTCTCTCAGACGCCTAGCCCAAGTGCGACCGCGCATGGTGCGCGATGGACAAGACGATGTTGATATGGATGCGGATGAAATCGATCCTGTTAACAACAACCCTGCATCAGCAGAGCTTATCAAACGTCTTGAGAAGGAAGCACAGACATGGGATCTACTACGACGGCTTCTTCCGCTAAGATACGCAAGCTCTGACGCCGATGGAAAGACTCCTGGCATGAAAGATGGCCTCCAGGACCCAGAAGACCTGCTTGGAAATTTCCTCATAAGCGATTCTTCGGCGCGCGAACGACAAGCAGTTATACAATGGCTTCAGAACAATGCTGCTTCTGGCCCGGATATCGACGAACTTGCGCGCGAGCTTCAACAGAATGCCGACCGGGGAGATATTATCGCCCATGGTTGGCTTCATACTCGTTCGCAAATCAAGCTTCGAAAGAGTGTCACTGCTTGGCCACATCTTCTGGACCGCCAATCACCAGACATTGCGACCTCGTTTCACAACTCCGATGGCTCACCTCTAGTGACGCAACTGGATCCTGATGCTGCGACTCGCCAAGGACGCAAGCTAGAGCCTCAAGACGAGTATTTCGAGCGTGCCATCTGGCTCGGCTGCTTCGAGCATCTCCGACGGGGGTCTAGTCTAGAGACTATCCATGAATGGTGCCAAGAGAGAACGGAGATGTGGCGAGCCATTTCCACATCTGCTGTGCTCATCTCGGCTGACGACACTCAGACATTTTCTAACACGAACCCAGCATCGCTCGCCTTATGGAGGCGAATGTGTTTCAGTCTCTCTCGATCAGGTGGTTGCGATGACTACGAACGTGCAGTATACGGTGTCCTTTCAGGAGATATCTCCACTGTCGAAAAGATTGCACTGACATGGGACGATTTCCTTTTTGCCAACTACAACGCTCTCCTGCGTACCCAACTAGACAACTACATCCTCGGACAATGCCCACCTGATCTGGCCTCGAACCTGACACAGTCCTTCCCCTCCTTCGACGCAGTTCAGTTCCATGGAGAGCCAGAGACAGTCGATAAACGTCTGATTCGGGCCTTGGAGTCCAATCCCCAGATCCGGGCTGAAGCCAATGAGCCCAACAAAGCTTTGCAAGCATCGCTGGTCTCCAAAGAGATTGGCCAGCATCTTTATGAGCAAGGTGTGATCATATCTTCAAGTGCGACCCAAAGCGAATCGAATCTGTTCAGATGGGAGCCTGAAAACATCGAGCTGAATAAGGAAAGGTTTTTCCAATCTACTCAACACTACGGACTGAGAATAGTTGCACATATTTACCTTCTCATCAACTTACTGGACAAGTTGCACTCTAACGATGATTCACTCGCTCCCGCGTCCTCCCAGCCTGGAGTGAGACGTGCTCAGCAGAACCTCCTTGCTGGCTATGCCAACTACCTACGCCTCGCTCAACTTCAGGAGTTAATACCCCTTTACTGCTCGATTCTAGAGCCCCCTCGGTCATACGAGGTCCTGAGCTATAACCTCATCCCTGAAAGCGATAACCAACAACGCCTGCTGCAGCTGAAACTTATCAAGAAGGCGGGTATCGACGTGCTTCAGTTTGTCAAGACTCAAGCGTGGCTGATGTATGATGACCTGGGCCCACCACAGCACGGATGTCCAGCCAAGGGATCGTTCAGTATCATCGCACCCGGTCCACCCACGGCAAGACAAGGTCGACCTGTGAAACCAGATTTCTTTGGCGACGACGAAAAGTTCATTGACACAGCACATGAAAACCTAATCCGGTCACTAGAATGGCTCCTACTGGTGCAAGAAACATGGCCAAGCGTCTTCTCAATGGGAACTAGAATTTACAAGTTCTTCTTGCGTAAGTTTTTTTTTGCATTGTATATAACAATATGACCACTAACAGTGTGGTAGGAAACATGCATCTCAATGCTGCTCGCCAGCTGATGAAGCGGGTGTCCTTTGCGGATGTTTTGCAGGCAGCCACAGAAGACAGCAGTGATGAGATGGATATGTACGAAGACATCCCCGAGTTCTGGGCTAAGCAGCTTGAGCGGAGAGATATTCGTGACGTGTCACCTCAGCAAGCCCTCTCAGACGCCCGCAAGTTCCGCGAACTGGAGAATCTAGTACGAGCTCTGGATAGCCTCGAGACAGTTGCATCATTGGCCGAGCTCACAAACGAGTAAGTCGACACCTCAAGATAAACTTGAATTTGATACTAACGAGACGCAGGGAACAAAAGAAGAATGCTGGTTTCTGGCCTGCGATAGGAGAGGAAGTCAAGAACACGAGAGAGAACATGCAGCCCTTGCTCAAGGGCTGGCTCTTAGTGGGCATTGAGGGCAAGTCGACCCATTTTATAAAGCCATCATTCAGATCTAACAATATTGTAGAAGGCGATCAAGAACTACGAGATCTTCGCCAGGCGTATCTCTCCGAGACAGTTCTGGCATACATCGGTACGCTGCACTTCGCAGGTACTGGCTTGTCTAGGGACAACCTTTTGGAATGCATGGAGCTCGCCTCCATTATTGCAGAGCGTGACTCGGATCTCTCCACAGCATTCGTGGAAGCTAGACGAATGAAGGAATTGGTGGAGGTATTTGCGGCGTGCAGCAAGGCACTGGCTATTAGCACTACTGGTGAGAGAAGAGTGACTGGTACCAGTAGCAAGAAGGTACGAGAGTTGGGTTG